TTTCTTTCTTGGGATGTGATTTATTGGTGAGTGGTGACCAATGCCAATTGTTCCATTTTTTTTTTAAGAATTTGATTTTGTTGACTGAATGATATGTTTATAAATAATTTTGATATATGTGATTCCATTAACAAGATATTACATAGTACTGTAGTGGTAGGTTTCATATTAGATTTCTGTCAATCCAGTCACAATTTCAAATGGGTGAACACAAACGGAAATGTGCGACTTCAATAGAACTATCCAACTATCGTATGCTTGATTCATTGATTGATGTATAAAAGTGAAACATAGTGAAAAATAATACATATAATATTTTAATAATATCGCGTTTGGGTAAAAATATATGAGCACTCATAAGTCATAACATGTAAACTTATAGTGACATAGGCCTCACTTTGAGATCCTTCTATTTACATGGATAGAACATTCAACAATATATACATATTAATATTATAATCTATGGGTAATTTTGCGGATTCACTATAATGTAGTCATAACTTATAACGTAAACTTTTCTTTATTGCACCGTTGTCGTTATTTATCTTTTTTACTTGCTTTATGCTCATTTCAATTTCAATACCAATCATCATGGGACCCACTATGACCTACCCAATGAGTCGTAGGCGTACCCGGCTGATATTTTAATTGAAAGGAAGGGTATATATAATCTGTGTTATTATCTATATATATATATAATTACTAGCTAATAACATTTAATAAAACTTATTTAATTTTACCTATGTGGCAATTAACCGTTTCCTTCCAAAAACCGTCACTTTTAATGTATTTAATATTTCATTTAATTATTAAATAATCAATACTAATCACTTCAAAACAACAAAAATCATTTTAAATTTTTGATTACTAACAGTTGACCGTATTATATATTGACCATATAATGTGATTAGATGTTATTATTGTGGTTACATTAAATTCATTTTTTTACAAAAATAAAAAACTTATTTGAAATTCCTAAATAAATAATAAATAAATCACAAAAAAAACGTACCCAAATATACATTACATCTAATTAGATAAACACAATTTTTTTAAAAAAAATTTCCCACTCTTTTAGTTGTAAATTTGGCCTGATAAAAGTGAAAGAAAAATAATTAATCATTATATGCATATAAATAACTCACAATACTTTATTTACATTTGTGTCTAATACTAATTTGCTTAAATGCTTGGTTTTATTGCGCAAATATAACATAATTTGAAGAGGATAAAAGTAAATTAGTTACCACACAGACACCATATTAAACCAGAAATTAAACAATGAACTGAAAGATTTGCATTAAACTGAAAGATTTCTCAAGATGAACAAGGAGGAGAATTTAGCTGCGGAAAAGAGAAAATGAAGCAAAGTGAATGAGAGAGAAAGGGAGCAGCCCTTTTATATTTAGGGTTTGCTCATGGACATAAAAGTAAATTACAATTGCCTATAGTTGCTACAGCAACTTTAACACAATATTGCTAAATTACAATTGCCTATAGTTGCTACTTTAGAAATAGCAACTTTAACACAAAATACTAAAGAATAAGAATACATAATGTTAATACCCCCCCGCAAGCTTAGCATGCATGTTATGCATGTTAAGCTTGGAAGAAAGATATTGAAAGGCAGGGCCTGCTAATGGCTTGGTAAGGATATCTGCAGTCTGTTCTTTGGTGTCCACATACTGAAGTTTGATCAACCCTTTGCTGACCTTTTCCCTGACTAGATGACAATCAATTTTGATATGTTTTGTTCTTTCATGAAACACAGGGTTAGTAGCCATTGCAATAGCAGATTTGTTATCACAAAATAGGGAAACAAGTGTAGTGTGTGGAATATTAAGATCTTTAAGCAGATATAAAATCCATTGAATATCACAAGATGTAGAAGCTAAAGCTCTATATTCTGCCTCAGAGGTGGATCTACTAACAGTTGCTTGCTTTTTAGATTTCCAGGAAATAAGAGACTGACCAAGGAATATAGAAAAGCCAGTGACACTCTTTCTTGTGGTAAGAC